GGCCAGATAGAATTTGGCCACTCCAAGGCCCTGAGTAGTGTTTAATGTCATAGATTCACCAGTGTGAAGATTTGCAGCCTTTCCATCCTTATTTTGACAGAAAGTTCCTTGTCTGGGCTGAGCTGGGCTGGGGTCAGGTAACTGCCTCCTCTGATCAGCCTGGCCAGAGACCATGCAGTGTGATTGCAAGCGTAGTTGTTGGAGAGGAACCCAGAGTCAGGATATCCCTTCCACCCGAGTCAGGATATTCTTAAGTAAGATCTGGGAAGAGCCATTAGGCATCTCTTCTTCCAGTGCCATGCGGCCAACCTCTGTGTCCAACTAGGCTTTGCTCTTTCACCCAGCAAGCTCCTCTGTTGACCTAGGGGATATCCCACCCCCTGAGGGTGGTCTGTTAGGGGTAAGCGCTAAACCATGAGTGGTCTGTCAGGGGTAAGCGCTAAACCATGACAGGCTGTCCCTATTTCAGAGAACTTCATCTCTGAAGAAGCACATGGCACTGGCCTCCAGAAGGACCCTGCTGGGCTGGGCAGGGGCGGCAGGCAGGAGTGCCTCCGCCATGGCTTCCCCGTACTGCACAGCCAGCCAGGGTGTTCTGGAGGAGAGAAGGAGATGAGCTTCTGTCTGTCAGAGGGACGTTGGTGTCCATCAGGTGGTGGCCAACTGCTCTGCAGCTGACCCTCCTGCCCTCTATTCTTAGATCATAAAGGAACAGGGTGAAGGGACATACTCTTGTATTGTGGCCTTAGTTCATGTCACACATGTTACCTGAGCACCAGCTACAAGGCAGCATGGAGGTGGGGGGAGGGAAGTCATGTCGGCAGTACAGCTCTTGCCCTCATGGGCTGTAGGATAGAAGGTGGCCAATTCCATCCTGTGGGGCCATGAGAGGGGGCCTGGGGGACTTGGGGACCAGGAGGGCTTCCCAGAGGAGGGGGCATCTGAAGCAAGAGAGACCTTGTGGGGGGGTTGGCAGGTGGAAGTAGGGAGAGGGGAGTGCAGAAGCAATGGCCTTGTAGGTCAGGAGGTGAGCTCAGAGCAGAGACTGCAGGGACCTGGGATGGGCAGCTGAGGTTTGGCTTGTGCCCAAGGGCAAGGTGGAGCCATTGAAAGGTTTTCTCAGGAGACATAATCAATTTGCGTGTTTAAAAAGATCACTCCTTCCTTTTTTATAGGGCTTCATTTAATTATGGTTCTGCTTTCTCCCCCCACCACCACTGCTTTTAGGCTGAGTGGAGAACTTCATTCAGCTCTTCCCCTTGAAGAGCCTCAGGGGAGTGATTCGGGCTGGGGGCTTTGCTTTTCTAATGGTAGCCTGGCTGGTGGCAGGGCCCTCAGAGCACGCCATTTGGCCATTGATTGGGTTTGGGGAGGCATCACTCAAGCCTTCTTCTTTAATGTACTGCTAAAGCTTTGCCATTAGCCAAACTTCTTGGAAATGCTGGGTTTTAGGCTTTCCTCGTCCTGGGGGAAGGCAGACCTGGAGAACTCAGCCAGGTCTCTCTCGCCTCTCTGCAGAGAGGGCTCTTCCCCAAGCCCACTGCTCCTTGAGAGTCACCAACCCAAGGGTATAGCCAGCGTCCCTGCCCTGACATTTCCCTGGGGCCAGTATAGCTTCTCCTAGATGGTGGGGGATAGACAGGATGGTGGCACAGGGTTTGGAGCTGCCCGTGCAACCTGGGCACCCCCTGAGGAGAAGCAGCTAAGCAGAGGTCACTTTTGTCTCTGATGTGAAGAATTATTTTGGACCCTAAGTCCAACCTGTGGAGATTCTTTCCAAAAGTTTGCACTGACAGATTTATTTGGCAAAAAATAGATATACAAATCAAGGTGGGGGCCATGCCAAATTTAACAAACCATTCGAGTCCATTAGAATGGTTGTGGTTTCACCTAAATAGACTCACCAGGGACTTCCTGAATGGGAATCACTTTGCCATCTTTACAGTCCTTTAAAATAATTTGTTATCCAAATTCCCAAAGGCTGAATGTCCTGCAGACAGAATGGCTTCATGGCAAGAGTGCAGGAGCTGTGGGTCTTCCTAGGCGAATGGAGCATCTTTGAACCTTGTTTCTTCACATCTGCAGGGATGGGAATGACACATCTGCACCAGGCCGCTGGGAGGATTGTGGGAGATGCACCGTTTAAACTTTGAGGGCTGGCTTGCGCACATCTGGGGCTCTGCGCAGAGTGGTTAGCTGGTGTTTCCACAAATGTATTTAAAGTGGAGAGGGGTGGGTTTGAGGGGTGGTAATCACACCCCAGTCCCCAATCTCACCGTGAACCAGTTTGAAACAAGGAGACACAAAAATCTGACAGATAAGTTGACACTTGTTGATTGTCCCAGTAGCAGAGTCACTTTTGCATAGTAAATGGGCAGGCTTCCTGCGGTGGCCTGTGTCATACATTGGCAATTTATTCTTATGAGTGCATGGTTATTCTGCAAAGCTCATCCTAGTATGTTATACCTCCCTCAGCTTCTCTGTAAAATTCTGGCTCTTTCTCAAACTGGCATTTGCAGAGAGCCAAGGCCCTCCTCTGGCTGTGTGGTGAGGAAAAGCCAAACATGAGAAAGCCCAGGCAATGCTTCCTGGGCCTCCTGATGCCAGGGTTCAAGGGCGTCCTTCTCAGGGCCCAAAGTGAGCAGGAGCTTATTTAATCAGAAGGCATCTTCCAGCAGCACCACTGAGCTCTCCAGGGCTCTGCCACGGACCTGGGATGAGTGGCGTCCCCATGGAAAGCCAAGGGGCATTCCTCTGAGGCCCTGGACAGCTTCAGCTGTCTCTAGCATCTTCACTGCACCTCCCTGGAATGTCACCGGCGCTGCTGATGGACACAAAGGCGCCAGGGCCTCCTGCACGTGAACAATGAACAATCCAGGAGCGTCCGTGCTTGCTCGTCCTGAGACATCAAGGAAGAATTCAGTTAAGCAGGTTGAGAAAAGAAATGAGGGTTTTTTTGCTGCTGAAGCCAGTTTTTTTTTTTTTTTAATAAAGTAGTGCTGCTGAACTTGCACCGTTTGTATTGGCTTCCCCTCTATTTCCTATTGCAACTTTTCCCTGATCTCTGCTGGGCTCAAGAGCAAACAAAAATAAGCAGTTTTTTGCAACAAGAATATCTGGTTTCCTCTCCCTTTTCCCAGGCTGTGGCCATGTGCGTGGCCTGCAGAATTCTTGCTTCCCCCTTCTCCTTCAGCCACGCTGTCCTCTGCTGGCTGCTTTGACCGGGGATCCTCACATCCCATGGCTTATTCTTAAGGTCAGTTCGACAGGATCTTTTTTTTTTAAGACAGAGTCTCAAGCTGTTGCCCTAGGTAGAGTGCTGTAGCATCATAGCTCACAGCAACCTCCAACTCTGGCTCAAGCGATCCTTTTAGTTTTTCTATTTTTAGTTTTCTTCAGTTTTGCTTAGGCTGGTCTTGTGCTCGTGAGGTCAAGCAATCCACCCACTTCAGAGTGTTGGGATTAAAGGCATGAGCCACTGCGCTGGGCCAGTTTGGCAGGATCTTAAACCACCTTGCAAAGGAGTTGATCACACGACCGTCTACAGTCCTTCCTGATAATATTTAGCAAATCTCTCCTGCATAGTCTTGGAATTCTCCTTAGGTTTATCATGGAAGCTGAGAGACAGAAAGGGGCTGGGGAGAGGTCAGCAGTGGATCTTGAGTTGGTCACAGTCATTCTGCTTTACTGCAAAAGCAGTTCAGAGTTACCAGCTTTATTTTTAAGTAAATATAATTGAGAGTTTTTTTTAGTACATTTGCAGTTGTGCAACCATCACCACACCCTTATCTTAAAACATTTCCGTGACCCCAAGAAGTTCTCCCATGACCGTATCCCATCACTCCCCATTCCTACTCCTGGTCCCAGGTAACCACTAATCCAGTTTCTGTCTCTAGATTTACCTTTTCTGGATATTTTGTGTAAATGGAATTATATGCTAGATGGGGTTTTTTTGTGGCTAATTTCTTTCACTGAACATAGTGTTCTTGAGGTTCAAAACACTGTGTTGAGCATGACCAACATTTAATTCCTTTGTATTACTGACTGTATTCTATGGGATGGATATACCACATCTTGTTTATTTATTCTTCATGTTGTTATTTATTGTAAAATGGACCTAAAATTTCACCTTTCTGGGACGTTTGTGATCACACAGGTACCAACATGTGTGTGTAGATGTGTATCTAACAGGAAGGGTGATTCTTGTATTGACTTGAAAGTGATTTTTTAAATCTTATCTACATTGCACTCTAAAAATAAGCACTAAGCACACACATTTTTTTTTAATATGCCAAGTATTTAAAATATTTCTTTTTGGCTTTTAGTTCCAAAGAACATCCTTGCAGCGATTGATCCAGCTGTTGCTAATCTAAAACCTTCTTCGAAGCAGAAAGACACTGAATATGGTAATTTTTATGGTTTACTACCAGCCTTTCTAAGTAAAAGTAATCTGACCTCATGTGACCACAGGTGGGCGCACTGTGGAAAGAAGGTGTGCTTGAGCCACAGGTCCTGGTGGTGACAGTGCTGCCACTGATGGCTGCCCCATTTTGTTTTGTTTAGATTTTTCAAATCAGAAGTAGAATAAGCCTCCCCTTTGTTCTCCTCTCACTTCCTAAAAGAAAAATTACTTACAAAAGGAGATGTGCTCAGAAATAATTCGGGGTTTTTGGATTATATCACGAGCTTATTGCAAAGATGATCCTGTAGGAAGGAACCGGGTGGGCCAGAGCCAGCATGGACCTGCAGGTCTCCGTACACACCACCTTCCTCCTTATTTCACTTGATTTTTGTAGATAGGGAAGGAGCGAACATTATGACTTTCTTATCAAGTCTAGAATGGAATCCAGCCCCTTGGGGTTCCTGATGGAAACTACAGAGACCAAGTTGAGCTTCTAGGATCTTAGGCTTTGGGTGGTGAGAGTTTTGTCCTGTGTTCAGGCAGCCCCATCACAGGCTCACTGAGCTCCATCCCAGCTGAGTTAAGCAGGCTTCTGAAAGCAAACCTGCCTCACACTTTGCTGTCAATTGCAAAAAGGCAACCTAACACAACCTCGCTCCATAATTCCAGGTTTGTCTTATTTCAGGTCAACAGAGTGATAGCAACTCCATGGTTAAAGTGAAACATTATTAAGCCTCCAAGAAGCGATGAATGCCACTGCCTTAAGGGTGGGAAACTACACGGGTTCCCTTCTGCAGCAGAGTAGATGAGCTGCACCTGACCTTGGAACCGACACTTTAAAACATTTCTAATCCCTTTTATAATTTAATATTTTCAGGGACTCCTTCCTGAGCACTCTTTCTGGCTTAGTCCTCCGTAAATTAGTCAGAGGCCCATTTGTTTGATTTCTTTGACTTTTAATTATTCTGGCAGTCCTGGGTTAGGAGCAGTGGGAGTCCCTTGGGACAGGCGTACTGTGAGCAGCTGTGATTAATTGGTCTTGCATTTTTTATGAAACAGGTATAAACTTTGACCCAAGCGAATCGAGGGTTCTGAGGAAAGATGGAGTTATTGTTAGCAACTCCCTGGCAGCATTTGCTTACATTAGAGGTAGGTCAATGAGTCGAAGCTTCCTGGAATGCTAATGGATTTACTAAAGTTTATTAACAAATGTACTGTTCAATTACAACACTCAGATAGCTGAAGAGAAATGGCTTCAGTTTGACTTGCCAGCTGAAGTCTTTTAGCTTCAGAAACAGAGACCTGAATTCAGGTGCAGTTGTAACCAGGCAACCAAAAGGAAAACCACATCAACAAGAGCGTCACATGATTTATGAGTTGGGCTTCACAGCTATTTTCCCCTTGGAAAAGTGGGAACCCGGGCACAATGTGAGGGTGTTCAGCACGCCCCCTGGGTGAAGGGCTCAACCACAACTTGAACGTTACCTCAGAAATGAGAACAATGTAACCTAGACATGTGCACCTTCATATTAATCTGAAGGAAAAGAAATATAGCAAAGTGTAGGGTAATAGCAGTAATTTGTCATTTTTAAAGAGTACTATAAAATTTATTTTTTATACGAATAGATAATATTTAAAAAATAAAAAGGTAATTTACAAAAAAAGAAAAGTAGGAACCCAAGAAATGCATTTTCCAGGTATAAAAGTTGGGAAGGGCCTGGGATTATTGAATTTTCACCCCTGGCTGGAAGAAAAACGAGCCCAAAGATCACTTAGTAAATAAAACAGGTCATGCCCCGTGAAGACAGAACCATTTTCTTAGTCGTGAGTGTTATTTCTCATGGTCACCAAGGATTCCTCGTTAATCTTCCCCATGAGGATTGATCAGACTCAGCCCTCCTGAATTAGCAGAGCCGAAAGGTTTGCACAGAGGCCGGCCATGCTATGGGCCCCTTGGTGAGGGGAAGGTGTGTACAATCTTGCCTCACTGCCCTCTTCACTTACTTTAAGATGAGCGGTTCTCAACCTGTGTGTGGGTCGCGACCCACAGGAACTGTGTTAAACTGTATTAAAGGGTTGCAGCATTAGGAAGGTTGAGAACCACTGCTTTAAGATAGACAATATTTCAGAAAGTCAACTGCCAATTTTAACAAGGTCTGCTTGACTCTATTCAGAGAGGCCAAAACCTTGGATACCTTCAGTAAAATAAATAGACATGGCTCGGCACCTATGGCTTCAGTGGCTAAGGTGCCAGCCACATACACCTAAGGTGGCGGGTTCGAATCCAGCCCGGGCCTGCCAAACAACAGTGATGGCTGCAACTAAAAAAAATAGCCAGGCATTGTGGTGGGTACCTGTAGTCCCAGCTACTTGGGAGGCGGAGGCAGGAGACTCGCTTGAGCCCAGGAGTTGGAGGTTGCTGTGAGTTGTGATGCCATAGCACTCTACCCAGGGGGACAGCTTGAGGCTCTGTCTCAAAAATAAATAAATAAATAGACATTTATGTAACTCATAACAGTATTACTACTCAAGGCCTACAGAGATGGGGCTATTGGGGGTAAGCTTATCCTAGAGGAAAATAAAGGCTTAAGGGACCTCTCGGCACGGGAGGCAGAGAGTTAAGTCTTGCAGTCCCCTGCTGCTCCATCGCCTGTCTTCCTGCACCAGTATCCCTCCTGTGTGTAGTGTGTGCTGTGTAGTTAGTTTTCTCTGTGAATCTTCTCTTTTCTAACTATCCTCCCATTTCCACATCTTGCTGTTCTGATAATTGTCATTGTTAAAAATTTAAAGATTCCATGGAAGGCCCACGTGGGAGGATCACTTGTGCTCAGGAGTTCTGGAGCAGCCAGAGCATGAGCAAGATCCAAGAAAAACTAGCCGGTGTCATCGTGGTCACCTGTGGCCCAGCTGCTCAGGAGACTGAGGCAAGAGAGTCACTTGAGCCCAAGAGTTGAAGGTTGCTATGAGCTATGACACCAGGGCAGTCTACTGAGGGTGACATGGTGAGACTCTGTCTCAGTCAATCAATCAATCAATAGCCAGGCATGGTAGTGCACACTTGTAGTCTCAACAAATCAGGAGCTGAGGTAGGAGGATGGCTTGAGCTCAGGAGTTCAAGGCTGCAGTGGGCTATGACCAAGCCACTGCACTCCTGCCTGGGTGACAGAGTGACACCCTGTCTCCAAAAAAAAGAAAAGGCAACTATATAGAAAGGCAAGCGAGGGAGTAATGACCGTGGCATTTAGGTGGTAGTCGCCTTGATGGTGAGGCCTGGGCATGAGGAAGTACAGTGAGACAGGCTCCCAGGCCAGTGCTCATTCTCAGCACAGCTGCCTGTTACAGTATTAAAGGTAATTCACTAAAGGATCATAGAGGAGGCTATGTATTGATCAATGAAGAGAGTAGCTCGTGTCCAAAGGATTATGGCTAATCTAATTCTGTCTACCCAGAGTCCTTACAAAATACAAAGAGAGTAACCGAGTCTATCTGTGGCAAAGCCAGACCGTGCACCCTCCTCTGTCCTCTGACCTGGCCCCTACTACATAGACACCATGGCTGGGGGAGGGCCAGGCCAGGATGATCATTATTCCCAGAGGCTTGACCAGGACGGAGTTGTTTCTGTCCAGATCTGACCCTGGTCTGCCCGTAGGTAGCTGAGAAAGGTGACAAAGGGATGGGTTCAGTTCCCTCACATACAGGGCTGCTCAAAGGCAGCAGCATTGGCGTCGCTGCCAGTGGGGCTGGAGGTTTACGTTGAGTAGTGGCTGCCTTGAGAGGCCTAAGAGAGTGCCACGGAAGAGGAGGATGGAGAGGACGGTGGCTGGAAGATTGAGGGCAGAAGGGCTGCAGCAGGGAGGGAAAAGGAGTCAGAGGGAGGAAGGAGAGAGTGAGGTCAGGAGAGTGAGGCTTTGATCTGCAGCGGGGAGAAGGGGAAATGACTTGTGCCCCATGTCAGAGCCTCAGGTCTTGGCATCATTTTGTGCATTACTACTTAATGACTGTCCTGAGTGCCATTTCCCTTTCTGCCACCATACTCAGAAATGAACAGAAGCCCCCACAGCTCTCACTAAGGTTACTTACATGTCAGTATTCAATGAAGTCTGCTAAATACCTTGACCCATAGGGAAAATATGTGCTTATTAATAGCACTGCAAACACGAATGCTGCCCCTCCCCCAGCCAAAATAAATTTTGGATTAAGACATCCAGGTCTTAAAAAGAGAGATGAGATCATACTGGCAGTGGTGAAGGCAAGAAAGAGTAGCACACTGGAGTCCAGTGACTCCACCAGTGACTTGAGCTGCAAGTGAAGGAAGCCAAATGGGGAGGTTTCAGGTTTCAAGAAGATAAGCTGTCCCAGTTCCACCTCCCCAGGCAGGTCACAGCCGCCAGATGCCCTCGAGGTTTGAAACTCCAGTCACAGCTCTGGGGAAGGATGGAGGGAGTGAAGACAACAGTCTTCCTACTTAGAAGGGTAGACATGAGCCTGAAGATCCATAGGGTTGAGATGTACTGAGAAAATGTGGAGGTGCCAACTGTGTGCCCCACAAGGAGCTCACCTGGAACCCGAGTTTCAGGGCTGTGTCTGCCCAAAGAGTCCCTCTAACGTTGGGGAGTAGCTTCCCTGCTGGAGCATCCATATCAGGGATCAGCACTCTGGCCTGTGGCCCAAATCTATAAATGACGTTTTATTGGCACATAGCATGCTTTTTGGTTAATATACTGCCTGGGTTATTTCTGCACTACAGCAGCAGAGATCAATATTTGCAATAGAGACTATATGGCCCATAAAACCTAAAATATTTACTATGTGGCCATTTACTGGGAAAGTTTGTCAACTTCCTAATCCATGTCATGAGGGAATTAAATGGATCATTATTCCCCAGAATAGGGTGATAACACCCAGAGTGGCACACAACCATATAGTGGGGATAAAGACAGGAAAAAAGCGACACATCCTTCCTACACAGGTTAACGTAAGGACCCAACATAGGTAACGGGTTAGAACCCAGTCGCATGCTACCTACCAGCCTTGTTTTTATTTCTCTTATTGTGATATAGACAGTCTGTTTGGATTCAGGGAACGTTATTAGAACTTTATATTACACTTATGTCTATTTTATTTCTATATTTTATTATACTTTATACATTTTTTTGTATTTTTATTTATTTTACATTTTATTTTTACATTCAGCCCTCTGTGTCTATGGGTTCCACATCAACTGCAGATTGAAAACTTTTTTTTAAATGGATGGTTTGCACCTGTACTGAACATGGGGAGACCTGTTCATTTTGGTCATTATTCCCTAGACAATACAGCATAACAACTATTTACATTGTATTAGGTATTATAAGTAGCCTAAAGATTAACCCTAGGGGAGGATGTGCCTGGCTTATATGCAAATACTATGCCACTTTACATACAGGACTTAAGCATCCTGGAGTTTGGTCTCCTGTGTCGGGGGAAGGGGGATCCTGGCATCAATCCACTGTGGATACTGAAAGACAATGACATATTTATATTTATTTTTTAATCTAAAGAATAATGGAATTAAGTTTTGCTAACATCTACTATATTATTACATTCCCATATACCTTGTGCATAAATGCTTTATAATCTGCTACTACTACTAACAGTTAACACTATTGAGTATTTACTATGTGTGTGTATTCTACGAGCCTTATAGTAATTAACTCATTTAATTATAATAACTTTATAATAGGAAGGTACTATAAGCCCCACTTTATGGATGAGGAAACTATGGCCGGGAAGTTATGTAACTTGTCCACAGTCACAGAGCTAGTGAGTAGCAGATCCGAGTTTGAACTTGGCAGGGAATCTGGCCCCTGAGCCCCTTTGCTATGTGTTCTCTCATACACACATACATATATTGACTGTATGTGCTCAAAATCTTAAAAATATCAGTGGGGATATATGGTCACTAGATGTGGGTGGTCTCAAAGGTGCTGGACTGACGTTCCTCATTAGCCACCTGCTTGGGCAGATGTCTATGTCTGAGGGACTTTGGACTCGTGAAGACTGACAGCGCCTCACAATTCCTGACCTGTCCTCTTCCTCCCACAGCCCATCCCGAGAGAGCTGCCCTGCTGTTCGTGTCCAGTGTTTGCATTGGCTTGGCCCTCACACTGTGTGCCTTGGTCATCAAAGTGTCCTGCACCAAAGACTTCCGGGAGCTGCATTTGGGGAGGGAGCACCTGGTGCCAGGAATTGACCAGGCTGAGGAGGACAGTGAGGATGAAGAGGAGGAGGAGGACTCCTCTGACTCAGATTTTCCAGGAGAACTGTCTGGGTTTTGTAGGACTTCATATCCTGTCTACAGTTCCACAGAGGCTGCAGAGCTTGCAGAAAGGATTGAGCGCAGGGAACAAATCATTCAGGAAATATGGATGAACAGTGGTTTGGACGCCTCACTCCCGAGAAACATGGGCCAGTTCTACTGAAAACTAGATGCATCTTGATGCAGTCGCACTTTCTGAAGAGGGAAGGATCCAAAATGCCCCTCCAGTTCTGATTAACTTGTACCTTCTATGAAGGAGAATTTGTCATGTCATCCAACACTGGTGAGGCCAGGAAGCTATTAAAGGGATGTTTCAAACTGTTTCCAGCACATGCCAAAATAAATTAGCAGGGAAGGAGTCTTTGTTTTCTTTGTATTTATTTGAATTCATGTCTACACATTAACAAATCTGTTCATAACTTAGAAATCACATTAATTGAGCACTTACAACTTCAGGTTCTATTCTGGCTGCTTTACTAAATCATTTAAACTTCACAGCCTCGTGACATAGTACTGTTGCCTTCACTTACAGATAAGTAAATAGAAGATGCTTATGTAGCCATAAAATATCTACACCTGATACTCAAGGTACAGCAGACGTGAGCTCATGAGTAATTTGAACCACTAACATTATTTATTTAGAATGAGGGTCAGAATAATGTTTCTTAAAAGGTAAGATGACAAATATTTTCGGCATATCCTCTTTGGCATGTCTAGCAACTTTCCATTGTAGCTCAAAAGCAGCCACAGATAATACATAATGAGTGAATGTGGCTGTGTTCTAATAAAACTTTATTCATGAACATTGAAAGTTAAATTTCATTTACTTTTCACATCACATTTTGTCCAGCCATTTCAAAATGTAAAAACTATCCTTAAGGACTGGACACAAAAAGGCAGCAGGATGGATCTGGCCTGCAAACTGGTTTTGTAAATGAAGTATGCTCTGTAATGCCTAAAATATTTACTTTCTTGCTTTTTACAGAAAAAGTTTGCCAAGTTTGGTTTAGAGTTTAAAACTGCAGAACCTCTGGTGATAAAAGCCCTCAGTCAGAGTACTTCAACCAGAGTACCCAGCAGCCCTCTGAGCAAAGTTCACTAGGAGTTAGTTTTCAAATCATTGCCAAAACTGGGTCCTACCCCAGTAGGGGAGGGGTAGAAGGAGCAGAAGAGAAGTTAAGGAAACAGACTCCTGATGACTGGTGATGAGGTCCCTGAGATGGCACCCGCTGGTGAATTGGAGGCTTATATCTGTAGACTAGAATAAGAAAACGTTTTTTTCTTTTTCGTCCCAGTGTATCTTGGAGTTACAGCTCATATACCTACTACCAATGAGCTCTCATGGTCTTATATTCCTTGATTATCACATCAACCCTGTGGAAATATGCAGAGGAGGAAGCTGGGTGCTGCCAGGTTAAGTATTGGGGCCATGTCCCTGGGCTGGAGCGACTCAGGAAATACAGAGCTGTGCCTTCAGGAACCCCAGCAGTGACAAGAGCAGAGAGCATGTCGTCCCATAGACTGTCAGGGAGAAGGGGCTGCCAGCAGAATGCAGAGGAGGAGGAGTGTGGGGTGTGGACAGTGCCTTGATTGGGGAGAAGATCTGTGGCATTTTAAAAAATTGAATTGAAATCCACATAAACATAAAATTAACCATATTACAGTGAAAGTTCAGTGGCATTTAATCCATCCTCAGTGTTGTACAACCACCACGTCTGTCTAGTTCTAAAGCATGTTCATCACCCCAAAGGAAGCCCCATGCCCATCGGTAGTCACTCCCCTTTTTCCCCTCCCTGCAGCCCCTGGTCATGACCAATCTGCTTTCTGTCTCAGTGAATTGACCTGTTCTGGGTAGTTCGTGTTTATGGGATCACACAGTGTGGTATGTGTCACACCTCAGCGTAATTAACTATCATGTCTTCAGCGTTCATCCACTGTAGCATATGTCAGTACCTCATTCCTTTGTATGGCTAAATAATACTCTATTGTACGGCTAGACCACAGATTTGTTTCTCCAGTCATCAGCTGGTAGATGTCGGGGTTGTTTCTTTTTCAGCTAGAGTGAATACTTCTTCTGTAAACATTCCAGTGCAGTATTTTAACACCAAAATGCACCACCAGACAGAGCTGGCGTGAACCCCCTGCACCTGCCAATTTCAAAGCCAGCTTCCTACATAGATACCCCCAAGGTGGGAGGGCAGGGACTGAGAGAAGAGACACACAGGCGGGCGGTGGGTGGGCTGGGTGGAGACTGAATCCCTCAGTTCCCCATACACAGCATGAGGGGTGGGGAACAGTTTAGGGGGTTAGAGGTGATGTGTTTTAAATCTATTCCAGATCATAGCAGAGAATGAAGTAAATTCCATTGTCCAATTGCTTCATAACAATTTTGTTCTAATCAAAGAGAATCCTTGTCCTTTCGTTTCCCTGAGTTCAGCAGGAGCATTCTGATGTTGTCCCAGGTTCCAGAGAAGCTGTTTCTATTTCTGCAAGTTCCCAAGCTCCAGCTTCTCTATCTCTGTGAACACAAATGCTGTCTGTCTGGTAACTTTCTTCTTAGGGAGTAAAAGCTGAGCCCACATTGGCCTCGGTCACAACGCTTTTCTTGAATTTCACAATGAATCTTCCCTTATCTGAATTCCCCCATCAACCCCCAACACACACACACCATCGCCCTCCCAGGATCCCTGTGGAGGCAGCTGGGAGACAGGCCTGCCAAGGCGATGGTCACTCTTTGGCCTGTGCAAATACAGCGAGTTATTTATTTGCAATATCTGCGCCCAAAAGAAGAATGCCATGTTCTTCTTATGGAAGGAGCCTGAAGGATCCTGCTGAGATTATGTTTGGCTGGGCACAAAGCCCAGGAGGAAAGAACCAAACCAGATTTGGATGAGGGGTTACTGCTGGACCGTGATGGCTGGGAGGAAGCTCCCAGGGGAAGTCCACCCAGGGAGTGCAGGGCGCACTCAGGCTGCCACATCTTGGCTTTGTGCTTCTCTGGGGCAGCAGAGCCCCAGCTGTGTCCAAGCTGTGGGGTCCCAGAAGCGCTGTGAAAAGAGGGCAGCACTCACTGGGAGGTTTGTAGGTCACTACCTCAATTCCTTGCTGTTAGCGCTGACTTTGAATACCTGAGCTGCCTGCTGCAAAATTCTGTTCTGGATTCACTGGAGCTCGTTAGAGGCTGTGGTGCTCTGTAGCGGCTGTGGCATCTGCTGTGGCTTCAGGGAGAAGCAGTATACACCCAGGGACCACGCAGGCTCAGAGGAACTGCAAGCAGTGCCCCCGTTGACCTCAAAAATGGGACAGTAGGTGATGTTGATGCTGCTTCCCAGGCAGGCACCCGGCCCTCAGCTGTTATGTGGGATGGCTGCGGATGGCCCACACCTGTCCTCTTCAACAGAGAATTGCCCCTCACCACTTTCTCCACAGAGAGACCTCAGTGAGTCCCTCTCGCAAGAATCTCCATCTCAGGGAACTGACTGACAGCATCCCTGTAAGGATCTGTGCACCGGGGGGGATGTGTCCGTTCTGGTTGAGTGCAGTGTAGGCAGCACCACCCACAACCTCAGTGGGAGCATCAGGGACCCTGCCTACCACCTGATGGTGTGAGGAGAAGTCAGCCATTCATACAGCCGGCATCTGGAGAGTCTTGGAAAAGGCCACCTGGAGAAGTCCCCTTCCAGTCTCCCCCCACCCTTCTCCTTGAGTCCCCAGAATCCAGCTCCTGCTCCATGCTACCCAGGAACCAAAGCTCGGTGCAGGGCAGGCAGGAGAGCCGAGCAAGCTTCCATCAGCCGCTGCTCCCGCAGCCCACAGTGGCTAGTAGGACCTCCTGGAAAGTGCCACTGCTCTGCAGCTTCCTGCTCACTCCCTGCCCCTCACCCCAGACCACTGGAACACTGATGTCGACAAGACTGGACGTGGCTCTGCCCACTCCTGGACTTGGGGGTTCCCTGCCCACTGGGTTTTGTCTCCTAGTGTCTGCTCTGACTCGGTCCTTTCCCATATTGGGCTGACCTTGCTGTGCCTTGGTTTCCTCACCTGTAAAATGAGCATAGTAACAGCATCTACTTCCTAGTGGTGTTAGAGAGTGATGGTGTTTTACACACAAGAACAACAATATATGTAAGCTTTTATAATCAGTGATTTCCTCCTCCTGAGTGGCAGCAGCCAGCATCTCATATGGCTAAGGCCGCACCATTTAGACTATGCTAAAGACATTTATTGTTTTTAAATAAAACTCAAAGGCATGGTTAGAACAAGTCCTCACGGGGGAGAACAAGGCGGCCTCCTTCAGCCCTGCTACGGAGAACACTTTGTGAGGAGAAACAATTTTATCTGCAGAGCTCCGAGGAAAGAGTCAGGGCCTGAATTTCCTTGGCTTCTGCAGCCAAGTCCATTGTCAAGTCTCCCACACGTGGACTTAAGAAGCTGTGCTCGGATTTGGCAGTGTAGCTATGACCCGGAACTATGGTTATTTGGTTTTAAAAAGCCCATTGGAAGCCTGTCCCCCGATATGGAGCTGGCCAAACTCCATCCTGAGACTGGATGGTAGCCCGGGAGATTAAATCCTAACTACTCCAAGCACACGCCCTGAAGACTGGACACTACCCTGGTCTGCAGCTAAAGAGGAGGCCAGAAAGAGCCACGATGACCATCAGCCACGTAAGGGGAGTTCAGGAAGCTAGCTGACTATCTGGGGGCACCATGTCCGTTTCAGGAATTTCAAATCAACAGTCACCTCCTCTGGGTGGGGCACAGAGCCAGGACCCCTGGAGAGTAAGTGGGAGGCAGCTAATCTGGGTAGCTTACTGGAGATGCTGAGGACCCCAGCCTGTCTATCCAGGACAGACTCACTAGCCATATATAGTTAAATTTAAATTTAAATCAATTAATAAAAATTTAAAAGTCAGCCCCTCACTCGCGCTAGCCATATTTCCAGGACTCAGTAGTCACACAGCTTGTCGCTACTGTCTTAGACAATGTGGGTAGTTCTATTGGACATCGCTGAGCTAGTGTATCAAGTCAGACACAGAGAGACTTCCCAACTCTGTGATAAAAATGGAGCAGGTATTTCCCCAGCCTTGCCAACCAAGGGTGTAATCAGATATCAAAATTCCAGACACAGAAATGTGCGACCCCAGCACCACTTACCCGCCTCTGCTGCCCTTCCCGGGGTGGGGGGGAGCCCTATGTCCCTAGTCTCTAAGCCCTGAAGCCCCGTCCCAGGCTGCAGACTCACCTCTGTGGACTCAGACCCCCACAGGAGACATAACCTCAGGGGTTCTGTCCCCTCCCCTGCCTGGCCACCCTCAGCGCTCTGTTCCTCTTTGCTCTGCAGCACACAGCCTGCTGAGGTGC